TGTCTTATAGTGAAGGGGTACATGTATTACTGGCCATAAAGGTTAAAGAAGCACTGTGCGAGGGAATACACAAAAACACTGCTCTCTAATCCTTCCTGAGACGCAACAGTAAGGACATTTAAATTCAGTGATCATATTAATCTTTTATATGTAAATAAACATTAACTTTTTATAGCAGGAAGGTTAGAAAGAAATGTTTTCATATGCTGCTCAAATCAGCAAAGATTTCTGTCAGAGGATCGAAGGTTTACAATATTTGAAAAGAAAATTCAAACCGGTGCTTCTATAAAAATACAGAAATGAAAATTACAGTCATCATAAATACTAAGTGGATTTTCCTTTTATGATAATGTCAAACATGTCTAAACGACTAAGCTGAAGCAATTATGAAATGTGTCATCATATAATTGGTTGGTATTGCTTTTTGTTTTGAGAAGGGAAAGACTGCACACAATGTTTTACACATCTCAGCAGATTTACAAGATGATTGAAAGAAAAAACAAAATCCTAAATGTCTAAAGGGAGCACAGCATGAATGTAGCATTTTGCTTCAGGCTTTGTTGCTTTTAGCACAACTGTTTCTGTTGGTTTAATTGCATGATATGTGGCATCATCTGTCTTTTTTTAAATGAAAGAATATTTTTTTAAACTTTTGGTCCTGAATAAATAATGCGAGGAGTGAAGGCATTAAAAGAATGCAATGGGATTTTTGGTATCTCCCTTCAATAGAAACATTCACAAAGGAACATGATTACATGATCAAATCCACTTTAGGGTTGGAACATTTTTGCATTTGAGACAGAAAAACTATAACATCTCAATGGTGCCAAAGCTTCTTATTAGTTCTCACAGCTCCCGTGCAGGCAAGATCTGTAAGCACTCATGTTTTATTTGTACTGTCAGACGATGTTTTATACTATGTGATCAAATGGAATTTAATTTATTAATATGTATTATAAATGCCGACTTTGTGCCATATCATCTCACCTTTTTAATGGTCCAAACAGAGTGTAGAACACAACATGACAGTTATTCTAATTTTAATCTCCCTCCCTCTCTGCTCAGGGATATCAGGTTGTGATTCTAGTTTCAGAACTGAAGATCTGTGACACAGAGAGAGACTTTTCACGTGTTAGATGTTTGTTTTTGTTTTGTTTTTTGATGATTGTGATGTTTGATTAAATTATAGAATCTGTCTAGTTTAAACTGTCTGGTGTTTTGTAAAAAAAACAAAAAAAACAGCAACAATGAAGGCCTTTCTATAATAAACGTAATGGATTTTTCAAGTGAGTGTTTCCTTCCAGAAAGCAACCAAACAGGTAAAAAGAATAATCTTCACAGGGAGTGGAAATGGATTCTTAAAAGATCTGGAGAAGTGTTGAACTTAATCAGTGTTGTATAGTAAAGAAGTAAAAATACTTTACTACTGTACTTAAGTATATTTTGGAGTACTTTATACTTTCCGAGAGTATAAATTTTTTTGAGAACTTTCACTTTTACTTCACTACATTTACGAACTTAATTGCATACTTTTACTCCGATATAGTTTCAATGTTTGGTTTAGTTACTAAGTAACAAAAAAATAAATGAGCGAGAGAAACGCAAGTGTTTTGACCCCACCTACTGACTACAAAGTCTGGTCTTGCCTGGGCTTGTTCATCAACACCTATACACCTGTTTTGCAAAGCCAGTCTAACTTTAAATATACTTTTCACTAAATTACTTGAGTACATCTATTTTTACAGTAATTCTTATACTTAAGTACAAGCCATTTCAGATACTTAAGACTTTTACTCAAATAACATTTCAGTCAGTGACTTGGACTTTTACCAAAGTCATATTTTGGAGAGGTACTTATACTTTTACTTGACTCCGAGATTTCAGTACTTTATACAACTCTGAACTTAATTGAAAAGCCTTTCAGGTCTGGATAAGAACAGAAAACCTAATTAGATTCAATTCAGTTTATTTATATAGTGCCAATTCACAACACGTCTCAAGGCACTTTACAGAGACAATTCAACCAGATCATCCAGTCAGATTGGTTCAAAGTTTCTATCTTAGGAAAACCAGTTGATTGCATTGACTCATTGACTCGAAGGCAATCCCTCACACTAAACATGCTTGTGGCGAGGGTGGAGAGGAAAAACTCTCTTTTAACAGGAAGAAACCTCCAGCAGAACCAGACTCAATCTGAGCGGCCATCTGCTGAGGCTGACTGTGGTTAAAGGAGGCAGAAGCAGACATAGAAAAAGAAGCAGAGATACAAAAGGCAACTGTAAACCAGCTCCCTGCTTCCCAGCTTCCATGTCCAGGAAACACACAGCCAGGTAGACGAGCTTGGAGCCATCTCTAATGTTAGAGGATGAAGATAGCACATCCAGCTAGTCACAGTCAGAGAAACAGGACTACACTGAAAAACAGGCCAAGCTCCAACATTTATGAACAGTGGTGTTATTGGCAGCAGCACAGCTGATAGCAGAGAGCTTATTGTTAGAGATTGAACCAACAAATTCTGCAGAGTGGGAGAATAGAGATCAAATGAAGCAGAATGATGTCCTCCAGCAGTCTAAGCCTATAACAGCATAACTATAGCGATAGCTCTGGATATCTTGAGCCACTTTAACTATAAGCAGACTATAACTATAAGCAAAAGTAGACATTTGTTGGAAAAATATTTGTTTTCATTTTTAATTCTATATTTGTGTCTATAAAAGTCTGTCTGTGTGTCTGTCCATTCATGCAGTGGATGTTACAGGTTTCACAGGGTTACCTTTTTACAGATAAATTCACCGGGTTATGACTTACCGCAATAGAAACATCTGGTGAACATTCATGTTAAATGTTTAGAAATCCTGCACTGAACATCATCAGATCAAAGCTGTTATGTAAAAACAGAAATCCAGACTTTAGCTGGGGTTTAATCTCCTTAAATACATACCATTATTCTGATGCATTTGAGTGTCCCACAAGTGAAAAGTAGGTATATTATTTTACTTAAAAAAAAACAAAATCCAGCACAAAAATACAATTAAATTTAGCCATAGGGTACTGTGTTAGAATATGTACAATATGTTATTCCACAGGTTGACAAACCCTGAAAGAAGAGGCAAGGCATGTTTATCTGTAAAGGACCATTTGTACATAAGGTAAGTCATGTGCTGGTTTGCTGCAATCTTCGTTAACAGGGGTAAAGAGAGAATTATACTTAATGCAAGCAAAAAAAATTAAAAGAACAAACATAAAATGGAAGCACACAGCAAAATACAATAGAAATATAATATGAAAAGAAATAAAATTAACCAAAAAAATCTTTACACTTGACACGTTTTTGTTAAGTTTTATTTTATCACCATAGATATAGTGGGAAATGCTCCTCAATCTTAGCAAAGCAAATTATGTTGATGATAAATAAGAGTGCACCAAGGAGGACACCTTGTGGAAGCAGCTTTTCTTTATTCAGGTATTTCAATATCAAACTAGTGCAAAATTCCCAAACATTATGAAGTACTAAATACAGTGGGCACATTACCAGACAATCAATACACTTTTCTAGTCTATAAATCAGTGTTTTATTGGAATGCACCACTGAGATAAAGCACAACTAAGACAGAAATATTTGATGTATTGCTGTTAAAACAGAGAAAAAAAATCCTAACCAATGCAGTCACAGTACTGCTGAGTGTCCTGCAGGTTTTAGAGGTTTCTCTGCTTTAGAACAGTTGATTTTGATGACTGCAGTTCAATAAAAGCCTGTTAATCAACTATCAATGTAAATCAACTGTGCTGGAGCAGGGAAACCTCTAAAACCTGCAGGACAGTGGCCCTTGGGGACCTATGCCTGCATTAAAGAGATACATTTGCTGATAAATGCCTCTTTAATGACTAGCAAGTAATCAGAGGTGAATCCCCAATATTGCCTGATGGATTCTCTTAAGAGTAATTGAAAATCTGCAAATTCATTGCAGGTCAGGAAGGTAAGAGTTTAAAAGACGCAGGTAATGAAAAGTCTGTCAGCCTATTAACTGTAGTAAATAAGGTTCTGAAAATGTTAATGTTCTGTTGAACATTTAGAGAATTAGTTTTTAATAAGGACTGAAGAAAGTACACCCATCAACCACAGGAACTCTACAAATGTCAATCCCAGTAAAAACTTTAAGGTGACTGATTAAGAAGATTTTCCTTTTGCATTTATAGTGCTTCATCACAAAGCCTCTTTGGACTCCTTTTCAAGTCAGTCAGCACCATGCTCTAGAACACTGAGTGGTCAACCTCTTCTTATATTTCAAACGTTGCAAAAGTCCTTCCTTTTGGACCCCCTTGGACAGAAACCTTTCATTTTAACCAAAACAACTTCTCAGCCTTAGGAGATGTAAATTCTGCTGTAAACAGCAAATTATGACGAACATTGTTGAAGTCCATACAACTGTTAAAGGTAATTAATTTGCACAGGTTTATTTTCAGTACAGCTTTTAGATCCTTTTTCATGAGCTGGTTCTATCTGGCTTGGTACAACAGTGACCTCTTCTGATCATTTTTACAAATTGCAGCTAATTCACTTAAGAACAATTGCTGAGGTATATCAGGCCTTTTCTAAATCTATAACATCAACAAAATAAAGATCTACATTAAAATCTGTTTGTGAAAGTTTGAAGTGATTAGTGTCAATGGCAATTGGCTGCAAATATCTTGGTAAATGAAACAAGAACAAATCTTGGTTTGGCTCTGCCACATTTATTGAAGAATTATTTTAAATGTGAAGGAATATGTTGTAATCATAATGTTCGACAGGAATGCATCAATTAATTACTGCTACACTTACTATTCTTTTATTTCTCTTTGGGTTTTATAAAGTATTTTTTTATTCAATTTTATTAAAATCTGTCCTAATATAATTGTTTATGTAATATTAGCTGTATAATAATTTAGAATATAATTTAATTATCTATACTTAATGATCAATGACAGAAATAAGTATTGTGTTCAAAGAATAGAGCTAATTGAGTTTATTGGTACTCAATAAGATATTCTGGATATATTTGATTTGGATCAAATATAACAAATATTTTGGGATGATTAATATCATTGACACAACTGAGGTACTGGTTTTCATCATCTGGCTTTTGCATACTTGATCGTCCAAGTTTAAATTTCCCAACCAAGACTCGGGCAAGAAAAATGGGTTTAGTGTTTCCATTATGCTGCGAAGTCGTGCTGTTGCTGCTGTAACGGCCTGCATATAATGCCTCGACAGCAAAATATATACCTATGGAGAGGAATAAAAAACAAAGATATTTAGATCAGTTTAGCAAATAAGTCTTGTATTACCGTACATGATTAATGCGTTGGCTGCCTACCATTGCCATATGATCTTCCATTAATTTTAGGTATCCGTAAATCAAAGTTATACTTGCAAATACTGTCTACATTTTTAGTGTCAGTCCCATGAAAAAGGCGTCTCTCTGGAATCTCAGTAACATTTTGAATCCTCATTAATTGTTTTTTTTTCCTGATGAATACAAGGAGAAAAAATATGTTCAAAACAATGACGAAGAAGTGCACAAGATTAATTTAGATTTTTCTTACCTACAAAAAATTTCCCAGAGGTCCAAATTCTGTATCCTGCTTATAGATACAATGGAACTGCTCAGACGACCCTCATTCGTTGTATAGCTTGCCACCGTCTTATACTCTGGGGTGAGCTTACTCAAAGGGATCAGCTTAGAAACATATAAACTTTTATTAGTCATTAGAAATGTGCATCACAATTACATTTTCCGCATGGGTTGCATGGCCCATACAAAGGGGTGGGCAGCTAGTAGTGCCCAGGGTGCAACATGGAGCTAGGGGTCTTGCTGATGACCCTGGTAATCAATCTGTGTAGTTTGAACTGGGTACCTGCATCCTTGTTCATACACAAACACTCTGCTCTACCCGGCCAGCTGTATTACACACATAATGATAATAATATAACTTTAGTATACCGGTGACCTAAACTAGCAGTCCATGGGAGTGGGGCTTGAACTCAGAACCTCCAGCACCCAAGCACAATGCTCTAACCATTACTCCACAACTTCCTCTCCCCATACAGTTCCATGCTAAAGTATTCTCCCATCATGACTTTAGATATATATATTGCACCGATACGAATACCAGTACCGAGCGGGGCCCCAATCCACAATAAAATGGTGGTATCTGTATCGGTGGGTACCAACAAATAGGGCGCCGATACCATTTTGAGAGCCATAAGTTTATTCAACTATTGTCCCCAATTTCAGGTAGGCAATTAAAAGTTCTACTGAATTCACTTTGTATTAGTCTTTTTCCTGGTTCATAAAGGTAGGCAGCAGCTTGACAAAATTAAGATGGCAATTATTTTACATCCAAGTAGTATGCAGTTCTTCATATATATGTATACACACACATCAATTTCAAACAGATGGTATCGGCCGGTACTGTACAGCCAAGTAACACAACCTTTATTATTGATTTATGGCAAAACAGAAAACTTTGTAATTCAGCATGTAATATATTCTGAATCTGAACCATAAATGAAAACCAATTCATTTAACCTAAATCATGTCTCCCTGTCTGTTACCTAATGCTCTCAGTCACTGAAGTCTTGTTTGACGCCTATTCAAACATCAGCTGTCTTACTTTGCATTGTAGCTATAGATCCTGTTACCATGTGTACAGTAGGTAAAGTGATAAAGGAAATAAAGGGAAAAAAGTAACAAAAATGAATAGTTTTTTTTTTTTATGAAACTGATAAAAAAAAATATATAAAATAAATTATATAAGGAAGTTAAACTGATGGCCTCAGTCATAGACCACCAGACTTTTATGCTCTTATCTAAAAATGTAAGCAACATTTATTTGTTTTTTTTCCCCACCTGGTAAGGAACCATAGGATTAAATTGTTCCCAGAAAATAGGCGGTGAACATGAACAGGAACAGCTGTAGGACAGAGCAACATCAGTTAAAGTAATGGTTTCACTTTCACTTTGTAAGAAATCATACTGAACTTGGAGCGCTGTGGTAGACCGGATACACCAACAAATTCACACCATTTCTCAAGATTGTGCCGTTGGATTCTTCTTTGCCTTCCTGTGGTGAGGTCTGTCTGCAGCATTCCTGTACAGAGTTTCAGGTGACTTTGATTGAACTGAAGACTAAAAGAAAGAAAAGAAAACTAAGACTGTGGGCATAGTGATTCAAACATACCTGAAAAATCTATCTTGATTTTGTAGCTCCCTGAATTTAAATAAAAGGAGGATTTTGGATCCATCAGATAATATTTCTCTATGTCCTCACTCCTAACAGGGTTACTGGGCTCATCCTAAGGGAAGGAAACAAAAGTATTACACAACTACAAAATAATAAAGATCTATAGAACACATAAAGGTTTACCTCAAACCTGTGCCACCTGCCACAATCTTCCAGATAATACCAATACCATGGAGTGTCCCAGGTGTCCATATCTTCTACTTCACCTAAAGAAGACATTGCGCTGACTGACTAAGGTTAACAATAAAAATACCTGCTGTACCTGTCTCTGTGTCACACTAATGACTATTGAATCTGGTCTTTGAGTTTCTGCCTCTTAAACCTAACCACTCCCTCTTAGATGGGCTGGCTTTGCTCAATTAAGAACACAAAGATAAACCAGGATTCCTATTCAGTTTAGAAAACTTAGATTGAAGTTTTTTTTTTTTTTAAACTGGGTAAGTTTGGAGAAAGAACATGCATGCATTCCAGCTGCTATTATCCCACTGTTAAAAAGATATTCATGATGAAGCAAGCTGACAGGGTTTTGTCACTATCTCTCTTTGTTTCACCTTTTCTCCACATTTTATTTTATTTTTTTGTAATTACCACATAGCATGAACTATCCCCTACAGTAACTATAATAAAACTATTTACATATGGAAATCCCGCAGGGCACTATGGCGAAAGCGATAGTGCTCCACTTGTGAGAATAAAATCTGTTGGGCTCTTTCTGGCTTTAAGACAACAATTAATATTGCCACATTGCCAGACAGGACAAAAAAAGAAAAAAAAAATTAACAAATTAAAAATAGAAACCAATTGCTAATTTGTTTCCTAACTTTCTTATTTTTGTTCTGTTTTTATTTGAGTCTCTTGGTTTGAAACGCTTTGTGTTTCCTTAGTTCATGTGCTGATATCTTTAGTTATTTTATTGTTGAATCAAATTGAATTGTTTATGAATATTAAATAATATGCCCTTCAGTCTCCCTCGTTTTGTTAACTTCTTCTTAATTTTGTCCTTTCTACCTTTCCTGAATACTCCGTTTTCTGTCTTTCTTCCATCCTACCTCTATTCTTTCCTTTCTTATAATTTTCCCTTTGCTTCAACCTTTGTCTCCTTTTTTGTCACACCTCCCTTCCCTTCTATTTTGTTTTTCCAGATTCATTATTTAAAACTTGTGATGCTATCTACCCTGTATCACTGTGAAGTTTTCTTTCTTTTTTTAAGGTGAACATGAAGAAACATTAATTATGCAAAGTTGAGTCTGTTAATGTCTAGAAAGTATCTTGGTCTCAAGTCGCCACCAGCAGATTATAAAATATTTCCTGACGATTCTGTGCTGAAAAATTTATTACACTGTGCAACATACACACAGAAACATACAGCTTTCCACAAACCCGACTCTCACACTCAAAGCTATCAGATCTGAACTACAATAACAGCCTTTTTTTCTGAACACAATGGAAGCTAAAATGGTCCATTCTTATACTTGCTGATAGTATCATCTATGCTGAAAGCTCGTAAACAGCCTTTCAAATAATCCCACAAATTCACATAGCAAAAGCTATATTACAATATTAAGCAACATTACTTACTACAGCGCAGACAGTGCCTCCAGGAAGTATTTATTTTCCTCGAACGTTTTCACAGCTTTTTTTTTAATACAACCAGACTTTATATTTTATAGGAATGTAATTTGGTGAAGCAACACAAAGTAGTGAATAAATGTGAATTGGAAAAAAAATTGTTTTCAAATGTTGTTAAAGGTGTGGCATGTATTCATACTTCCAGAGTGATTTGATATTCCTAAATAAGCTTCAGAGAAAGCCGATGCTTTCCCCTGATTAGTAAATATTATTAGAAATTCAACTTTAAGTGAAAAAACAGCAGCTTGAGAGCCAAGCAGCACAATAAACAGATTTTCTGGAGTTTTCTTTTTCTTTTTCCAAGCAGTTAGTTTAGAAAATGATTTCCTAAGCTTTAACTTGTTAAGACAGACCTGTTGAAACTTTTTTCAAAAACTCTGGAGGTGCAGCAAATATGCCCGGTGGGTAAATGATAATAATAAGAAAGTGGTTATTAATTGTACTCTTTTATCAAACTGGATTTTATGGAAAATCATGAAAGCCGTTAATTTCTTCCTTAAAGCGGCAACAAAAACCTTCCAGTTAGAGGACAACATAATCCCAAAGAGAGATTAACATTGTTTTGGATAAATAAAAAAAAAAAAATGCAATTATGTAATAAAATTCAACATAAAAAACTATTGGTGGTGAAACTTTAAAGCTGCTCTCAATTTTAACTCTTTATCCAGTTCGACTCTAGCTAGCAATATCTGGTAGAGGCAACCTAAAGACTTGCAGCTGAAGAAGCTTCTACAGAGCTGAGTCCAAATGCATGCCACACCTTTCAGATTTCTAAACCGATGCATACTTCACCACTTTGTGTTGGTTTGTCACTTAAAATGCATTCAATATGTTGACAGTAAAGTGCCAAAATGAGGTTTAAGGTGAACTAATTCTTTTGAGAAATGCACTGTATGTGCCGGCAATACTTTTGATAGATTAATTAGAGTCCAGGTGCAAGGGTAACTGGTTTTCCTCAGGTGCAGTCAGTGATAAGCTCAACCTTTTGGATTTCTAATATGATGTTGACCTTGCAATGACCTAGGCAGCACACTCTTTGTAATAAGACTGATATTCAATCTTCCAAACCTCAACGATACACAGTAACTGCAGACGAACATAACGTTAGAACTTTGCGTCAAAGTGACACAATTAGAAGTAAAACCTTTCATAGAAAGGGTAACAAGTGCACTGACGAATGGTTTAAACAACAGAGGTAGAAGCTTATTATGAGGAAAGTAATTAGAAGGTCACACTGAAATAGTACAGATGGGTAAGAGGGTCTGGTAGCTGATAAACACTGGCATGATGTGGTGCACTACATCTTTAAAGTGAAGTTTTTCCACAGGCATTGAGATTATTTCCTCCTCAACATCACTGAGCTACACTCACAGTCAGAGGTTTATATACGCTCATTACTAATGATTGTTTAATCATTAGTTTTAAATTCCTTTTTTCCAGGTTGTTATGATTGTATAACAAACAAATTAAAAACAAAAAAGAATCAGGTGCATAATTTGATAATGTTCTCTATACTTAGACTACTTTTTGACTTAATGACCAATGGGAAGTTGCAGGGAAACCATGTTTTATGTAAACAAAGCTTTAATATAGATCTGATTTAAAGATTAGGAAGGATGGTGTCTTTTTAAATGTGTAGTTTCCATGGCAACAGGTTTTTAAGATTTGCCTACAAGGAATTAATAAGCCTGAAGAATATCTGAACATTTAAACGCCAAAGAGCGTCCAAATCAGAAGCGTTCATCATAAATCCCCAATCATGTGGAATAGTCCTTCTTTCTTATGTCCTCAACCTTTTTAAATGAGTACTTGTACCACTGACAACCAATCAGATCATCAGCAGGATGCTTGCAGTCCCAGGCTGCAGCTGTGCTGGTTCTTTTTTACTTTTCCAACCCCAAAATCTATTACATTAAGTTTTAGACTGAGTGGTTAATATTTAGACAAATTTGGAAATGCTAGCAAGAAATCTCACCAACATTGGGTCTGGAAAGATAAAGCAATCTAACATAAAGTTATCTGCTATTAAGTGGCGTTAGATAACATTTATGTCTATAAAATTAGAGAAAATCCGCAATAAAATAAAATTGATGCACCCAATGTTCGCTTATTAACTTTTTAAAGGGGTATGCTCTATAATCATCCCAACCAGCAAAAAGAAATTTTAAAGTAAAATGAGCAAAAGCGCAGCTAAATTTGGCAAAATAAATGTCAAAAGGACTGCATATAAACCACTGACCACAACCGGAGGTACTCAGTCGTTTGATGGTGCAAAGTAACAACATGTTGAAAACAGACAAAACATGTATTTGGTATTATAATTAGGCAAATGCATGGCACTGTGGATTCAAAAGAAGAGGTGCAGCCAGAATTGAGACAATGCCGTAAATCTCCAAACTGAAGCCACTTTTCGGGTTAACAAGCAAAAGGAAATATGATCCAAAATGCTGAACAGGTCAGCATTTTCCCTCCATTCTCCCTCCCCTCTTTTCATAACTTTCCAAAGGCACTTTGAAAAATCCAATGCTCCAGTTACTCACTGGATGTGGCTCTTAATTTTCTTCCATCTTATTCCAACCAGCTGACTCTGTATGTCAACTCATCGATTTCCCCAGAGTTCAACATCAGTAGAACTCAATTAGATACTCTGGGTAGATCTGATTGCTGTCGAATATAACGTATATCTTTGGGTTCGCCATATCGTCCACACAGCTGTCATAAAAGTTGGTAAAGCTGGCGTCTTTGGAGGGCGGCCTGCAGTACATAGGATGGCCCACTGTGTATTCTCCAACAAGCACTCTGGCAAGGAACATAGTTTTATAGGGCGGCTCATTGGCAAATATAGGGGGAGCGAGTCCGTGCCTCTGTAAGGTGGTGTTGTGTTTCCCGGTCGTGTGGCAGAATTTACTGGAATACTTGGCATCCCGGGCGAAGTAGCTTCCTGTAGAAAGGATAGTTAAACAAAAGGTTAAAATCCAACAAATACCAAAAATGTTTTTTAAGCATCAACACAAAGGGATGTACCTTTGCCATAAACATCACCATGACTCCCTGTCAGACGCCAGTCAAAGTTAAACGTACAAATAGCTTGTATGTTGCTGTGTCCTGTACCATGAAACAGCATTCGTTCTTCAATATCCAGAGTTCGCTTGACTTTTCGCAACTGTGTTTTCTTCCTTAGGGGAGAAACACAACACAGAGCATAGTGGTGTATTTACAGATTCCAAAGATCTAACCGAACTTTGCCTTGATTTGTATTTTATTAACAAACACCAAATTAAGATCTGCTTTATTCCTTTTTTTGCCACATTAATCCAGAATCTGCTTCTGACTCTAACACAATTAGGGCTGGGTATTTTCGTCAAAGTCCTGAATCGATTTGATTTTGATTCATACAGTTCTTAATCGATTAATTTCGATTCGATCTGTTTTTACAATAATGAAAGTGGTTCAACTGTGTTTCAAAATACTCATGTATTTAGTTTTTTCCTGTCAGATTAAACACAAAGTGCAAACTTGTTTGTGAAAAGTGAAAAAGTGAAGCCTCACTCGAGCAAGCAGACGTGACACAGCAGACATGCATGAGCTGCATTATCTCCACTGCACAAACCATATTTGCAGCGTTGTCTGTAACAACTACAGAGTGTTTTCTGGTCAGCCCCCATTTGTTAAAGTCTTCAGTCAACCTATTGGGTATATTTGCAGCTGTCTGGCTTGAAGTCATCTTGAGTGCATCTTTCCTGCCTATTGAATTTGAACGTCACGCAGGTCACTATAAAATGAATCAATCTCATTCCCTAGACATCGATTTTGCAAAAATGCAAAGGAATCGATTCAAAATCAATTTTTTTACCCAGCCCTAAACACAATGTATTGTTGTTTTTTGTTAGACCCCACATTGCCTTAAAATCTGCAGTCTTCGAAACTAAAGATAACATTGAGGAATTGAGGAATAACTTGAAAAATGTACCCTAAACACCAGATTACCTGCAGAAGAATTCCCATAGGTCCAAATTCTGAATCCTCTGGATGGATTTTATGGGATGATCCATCGTCCTCTCATACAGTCTGGCTACTTCTTTAAACTCATATGTGTCTCTGCCGAGCTGGATAAGCTGTAGAAACAAAAATCACCATTTAGTTTTACTGACATTTAAAACAAACATTAAGATCATGATAAAACCAGATTATACAATTGAATTGAAATGCTGCTTCCAAAAATCATCTGAACAGGGTGTGAATCTTTAAAATAATTTTGTATCTCATGAGTGTTTTCAGCACCTTAAAAATGTATTTGTATTCCTTATCTTCTGTCTTTGAAATCCCCTGACAACTAATGCACGTTTCAGATATTTAACCCGATATCAATGTCTGAAAATAATTTTTTGAAGGACAAGTGGTTCTTAAGTTTATTGCTTTCAATTTTCATTTCATATAAAAGCTTTTTTTATTTATTCATCTTGAGTTAAGTATTAAGTGCTCTCTATCCTCCATCCTCCTGTCTGCTTCTTTTAATTCAACCTACCTGGTAGGGCTCATCCGTATTGATTCTCTCCCAATGGCAGGGGACAGGCAAGGCCAGATTATCACAAATAAACCTAACAGAACAAATCAAGGGTAGATAGCATTTAGTGGCACAAGATCTTAGAAAACCTCACTCAAGAAGATAATCTCATCTATTTTTAAATACCATGTGTAAGAAATCCTTTTCTACTCAGAATATTTTTAAAGGACAACAATCAAGGATCAGTGATATGCAAGCTCTGGTTTAATTTACAAGTTCATCCCATGCCAGGAGATGTTGCTTATGTGACTTCTAACTATTATATTTGATTGGCTGATAAAAAATAGCAGAGAAAATTTTAGGATTTCTCCTTTATGGACTGAATCTCACCTAAAGCCAGTAGCAGAGTGCAGGGAGCGTTTAATTGGTCTCTGTTTTCCTGTCGTCACATTAATCTGTCGCATAACTGGAGATGAAACGCAGATTTAATTATTATAGAAGAGAAAATGTATGACAACAGAATAAATCCTTATCTGTATTACCTTAAAAATATTTCAGCTTACCCGAAAAGTCTAGCCTGTACGTGTATTTGGCTGTGTAGAATTCCATGACCCCACGCTGGTTCCTGTTGTAGCACTGCTCAATCTGAGCGCTGGTCACTGAGCAGGCCGCGCTGGGATCAATCTGACAGAGATAAGAAAGAAGATAAGAACAAATACACGACATACAGATGAACTGATGGCTCCAAAATCTCCCACCTCGGCCTGTTTGGAAATGACATTTTTCGAAAAAAGTCAAAAGCCGGTAGAGTGAGAATCTACAGGTTTTACAGCTGCAATGCGACTGAAAGGTCAACTAAGTATTGACTTAGTACTATAGTACTCCACTTTATAAATAATAACTCTATTTGTGTAGATCTTGAATTTAGCAGAATATCTAAAATTCCATTACAGCTATAAGTGGAATTTTTTAACTGCTTTATCTTTATTTTATCTTTTTTTTTTTTTATGAATGTTAATTGAATGTTGAATGTTAGAATTGTAACTATACAGTCATATGTTTACATTATTGTTTTTCATCACATTTTTTTGTTCAATTACTACTGCTTACCTTATCAAGGCTGCACTTTAAAAAATGAAATAGTCTAGAGCAGAGGTCTTCAACAGGGGGTCCACGACCCCTAGGGGTACCACAGAGGTACTGCATGGGGGTCGTGGAGATTTTGGTTGATTAGACCTTTTTTTTTTTATATTCCCCCCTGCTATTTTTTCCACTGATTGAAATGTCTTTATATCCACATTAACATGAAATCAACACACTGTAGTAAACAGATAAATGGAGGCAGAAGATGTCTTTCAGGCATCAATGCACACATTCAGCGACACACAGGAGCTCTTCCCAGCTGGGCACCGTTTCATTCACAACACCTGTCCCATCAACCAGGAATCAGAATAAAAAATACTTTAATAATCCCAGGATACTTCGGTTATATTACTTCATCTGTAATAGAGTGACTATAGGACCACTTTGATATAACACAATTTCACATAATATACATAATTAGGGGGTCCCTGCTCCATCTCGCCTTCAGTTTGGGGGTCCTTGGCCTGGAAAACACTGAAGAACCCTGGTCTAGAGGGCTGAAAAAATAAAAGGTCTTTAGCTCAACAAATAAACGTTGAATCATGCACATTAGTCACCTTTAAGTAAACTGTCAAAAGACAAAAATAATGTAAGAAAATGTATTTATTTATTTTTTGTAAAGAAAAAAATAATAAAGAATAATATTTATGGTCAAGTTGTAGTTATTATTAGTTACAATGCAAATATGGGCCACTTTTTGTGCAATATCATGATCCAAACCCTGTACTCAGCATATGGATATATTTGTAAACTTTAAGCAGCATAAGAATCAAAGTTTGGGATTCCTAATTGGGCCTAATCTTTTAGGTAAGAACCAAACTACCTCAAACATGTGCCAGACTCCACACTCCGCCAAATAGAACCAGCACCAGTTTGGCTCTGAGGTGTCCATCTCCTCAATCTCAGCGGACTCCTCGTCTGAAGATCTGATGGCTAACATTGCTAAATCTGGAAATAACAACAAAGAAACTAGTAACATATTTGAAGGACGAAACATACGACACAGAACTGAGTGAGAGAAATCAGACACTTCGGTTTTCAAACAAACCTAACGTCGATAAACTGCGTTTAAGCCATTGTCGTGAGGGTATTCCATCATGTAAACAAACTCAAACAAAAAACGTCCATGCCGAGCTAGCTCTCATTAACGGCAGCCGCGCGCGCTTCCTCTTAGCTTTACATGAGTTTTACCAGCTTTCAATCTGTCTTTAACTAGGTCTGCCCTTCCGAAATGATAAAAAAAATAACAGCAACGGCACGAATGTGGAGAGGTAACTATCATTTTCTTCATAGGTTCCGTTGTTTACTTTTATTTCCGGATACGTCACCACGTAAATCCCAGAATGGGAGGGGAGGTGTGTTTGGGAAAGTTAAACCCTGGCTTTTTCCTGACAGGTACACAGTCGCAGATGAGAATCAGACTTTTTTTGTGACACTGATTGGTCCAACTTCAGAGCCAACCTATCTTCTAAAACTCGAACATGCGTTCTAAAGTATGAGAATAGCAGTTCTAAAGGTCAAAATTTGCAGTTTGGGGCTGTTTACGTTTTATATCAATATTTTTGTTAATCATTCAGAAACAGTGGGGGTTGTAGACCAAATGTACCAGGGAGCCAGGAGGGGGCCAGCGTTTTCAAGTGGGCAGAGAAAAGCATGAAATAAAAAACAGGGCAAGGGATTCCAATAAATTAAGAGAGCTGCATAAAGTAACATTTCCATTCAATTATGTTTAATTAAAATTCTATTTCTTATTAGGTCATTCTGTAAAAGTTATATAAAAAATAAATAAATAAATAAAAAATCCACTGGACTTGGTTTCCAAGATTTGAAGACGTTTCGCCACCTCTCCAGGAAGCTTTTTCAATTCAAATGTCTGGATCCGCAGTGAGTTTGAGTCTTTATATCGAGGGTTTGGAGCCAGAGGGGCGTAAGTGGCATTTTGGTCAAAAATGAGTTCTATATAGACAATGCCTTGTATGGCTTGGAAACATGGAAATGGAAACCGATGAGTGTGTTGTTTGGTCCCATTGTTAGCCTGTAATATCTGAAACCTGTCTATGATTCTGAAGGTCGGTCGTTAAAGGGGGGGATCGTTATTAAGTCAATGGATCCATAATTAAAATCCATAATTAAGTTTATGGATTTTACATTATTTCACTTAATTTAAGTTAACATTACCGTTTAAAAAAAATAAAATAAAATCTGAATTAGTCAAGAACTCAAGAAACTGAACTCAAGAACTCAAGAAAAATTGATAAATTCACCTTAAGTAGAGCATAAAAAAACAGTAGATGAAAACTGGGATCCTATCTCAATACCACTGAAGCCTTATAATCACCTTATTGTTTTTTTAAATGATTTGTAAAACAGAATTTGTAAAGCAAAAAAAAAGTAACAAAGTATTATGTCTTTAGTACAGGGGCCATAACAGGGGCCGGGACATGATCTATAGGGGCTGTGGCCCCCGTTGGCCCCTGACTAGAACCACCCATGTGTAGAAATATCTTATGGTTAAGGAAATTACTTTTTATTGTTCTCTTTGCTTTAAATGTTCAAACAGTCTGAAACACTGTTTGAACACCATGTAATCAGAGGCGTAGGTTGGCCAGGCAATAACCAATGTATACTGCGGGGTGGCAGAAAGCAGATAGGCACCAAATCCTCTCAATCAATCTACAATGTTCCAACAGGAAAATTAATGTCAAAAAGTTCATATTTTCTAAATAAAGACAAACTTTATGTCCCCACAGTTTTGCTAACAAATAGACGAATATATTCATAAATCCATGCTTTCTAGATAAAAGCTATAGTGGATAAAATTCTTTCAGGTTTGAGTTTTGGGTGAACATCTTTTCCATTGTCATTACTTACCTACTTTCATCAGTAATCATTCTGCATAAAATTGATATTTACAAGTACTAATAGCTACATAAATTGATTATTTAATACATTTTTATTTTTATTCAAATATTTTTTTTACCTTTGATTTCACTAAAGACTCCTTCATGACTTATAGACAAATCATTTTCTCTTTACCCCATAAAACACAAAACCTAGTTCTGCTTGAATTATGTACTTATAATCTTTAATTCTGGTATATTAATGTGCATAATTAACCACAGTGTTTTTGTGTCAAGTAATTGTTAATATGTAAATGTTAATATAATTTGTCAAAAATTAAAATGTTTTGAATATTCGACTTGAGAGCAATACTGTTGCCACCATTTGTATTAGAGGGGAATACATGGTAGGGTAGCCAATGATTGGCTAAGGGTGGCCATTGTCACCCCTGGCCCCCCATCTAGCTCTGCCCCTGCATGTAATTTAATCCATTTTCTGTGGGACAGCCCATCTCCTGTCGGACACGCCCCTTGTATAATAAGACTTTGTCTTCAAACTTTTGCTCAGATAAACTAGGAGTTTTATCTTTGATAGACACAAACAGCCACTTGGTAAGTAGTAAATCTTTGGAAAAGTTTGCTTTTTGACTTACTGAAAATTTACTTTAATAATGAGAGTGTGGACATTTGTAGTAAAAGTCTTTTGGTGTATGAAGGTTTTATTAGTGCATTCCTTTAAGATGAGAGTTGTTTGTTTTGTTTTAGTGATAATATTAAAACTTTTATTTCTTTTTTTCCTTAAACCTTTCGTTGTTCATACGGATGAGTAAAAAGCAAATGGGAAGCGATACATTTTTTTTCTCCATTTGCTTTAGGGGGATTATGACAGAAGAAGAAGACAAAAGGGGCCCCGCAGAAGAACATGGGCAAGATAAACAGGATCCTGAGGAGGGGGTTCAGCCCAGGGGAAAATGGGCAAACAACATGGAGTTTATTCTCTCTATGGCTGGTGAAATAATTGGCCTTGGAAATGTTTGGCGTTTCCCCTATCTGTGCTATAAAAATGGAGGAGGTAAGGAGGTGTGCATGTGAGACATGTCTTATAATCAGTAAGGATTAAACAATTTCCGAAAAATAATCCAATTTCCTCTTAAACGTCTGTGTTTTCAGGCGTCTTTCTCATTCCTTACTGTGTGTTTCTCTTCTGCTGTGGCATCCCTGTGTTCTTCCTGGAGACTGCATTGGGCCAGTACACCAGTGAGGGAGGGGTGACCGCCTGGAGGAAAATATGCCCCATGTTTGAGGGTAACCCAAGGCTCAGACATACCCTGAAAGCAATAACCCTTCAGTGCTATCTGCTGCCATGTGATAACTGTCAAACTTTGAAAGAGCAAAACAAAAAGATACAGAGAGTTGCATAGAGTTAATATTCTTAAAAAAAACACACACATTGTGTAACATTCCACACACAATCTTGGAAGCCTTTTATTATCATGTCAAAGTGCAGTGCAAACTTGTGTTTCATTTTCAAGCAGAACAATAAATATGACCAATCAAATATGTAAAAGAAGATGTTGCAGTGAAATGAGGATAAAATTGAACATTTAGTCTGCAAGTTATGTGTTAGTTATGTTCACCCATAACATAATGTTTAAATGAATTACACTGAGATCTTGGAAACTTTATAATGCAATGCATTGTTAGCAGACATTTCATAAAGAGTGACAGTCATTTCTTATTCATAACTAATTCTTATCACTTTGCATTATCATCTTGAAATACAAAACAACCAGAGTAACTCTTGTCAATTAGACCAGCACACTTGAGATCAAACTGTAGGACAGCTGGAAGAAACATTCTCCTACTGCATGAAAAAAATCTCCCTTTCCCTTGCAGGGGTGGGGATTGCATCCCAAGTGATTGTAATCTACTTGAACATCTATTACATTGTGGTTTTGGCCTGGGCTATTTTCTACTTAATAAATGCCTTCAAGAGTCCCCTTCCTTGGTCTACATGTGAGAACTGGTGGAACACTGGTAAGGAAATTATATGTTTCCTTTTTTAGTGTATGAATTGGGCCGTGGAGGCAGGTACCCTTATTTTTTCTTGAAGTAACCATAAATTCTTTTACTCAACAGATTCATGTTTTAGTCGAGCTGGCCAATTTGCCAATCCTGACCTTTTTAATAGAGGATCCAACTGGTCATTTCTATACAACAACTCCCATTATACTTATGACAGCGACATAAATCTGTAAGTAATTAACCTTTTAATTATCTGGAGAATCAAGAGTCTTTAAAGTTATGTGTAAGAATTCTTAATGATGGTTTTGATATTGACAGTAAAGCAGGTATTTGAGAACGAAATTATGGAATAAGCGAGGTGTTGCTATGTAGGGACTACACCTATCTTTTTAATGATGTTATTATTACAAACTGAAATTTGGAATTGCAAGGATTCGTTTTATAGTTCTGAAAAAAAAAAAACAATACATGGTATATTTTTCAATAAAAGCTTGACAAATTGGTCAAATTCTATTAGTTATAATCTTTTGACTTAAACTGCATATGGCACTCTTTCATTACTATATCAGTGAAAAAAACAGATTTTCTTTTTCTTTTTACAATTAATTCCTGTTAAATCTCAAAATTTAATCCACAAGGGAGGCTAGAAGTGCACAAAATGTGATAAAAAGTTTAATCAATGATTAGTCGATGACATCAGGCCGCTATTTTACTTTTTCTTTGAAATCATGGTGCCCATAAGTAAGGTCTAGTTTCTCTTTCCCCTTAATCTAAAATATAAACAAATAACTTCAGTATTATTGGTAAATTGGAGGAGAGGCTTCTTTGTTAGTCATAATTCCTTTAATATAAGGAAATATTGGTCAGATATTTTGAGTCAGGCTGCTTATTTGCACTGTATCATCATAAAGATGAATAAGAAAAAAAAAAAAATACCTCAATCTTCTTTTACCCTCGAATCATACTATGATCACCACTTTGAAAAAATGTTAATAAGCCAGAACAGTCTAAATAGCATCAGCTAATCTGACTCCAGGTTCCAGTGCAGAAAAGCCTTGTTATCTAAGACCTTGTGGTAGACATGGAAATAAAAATGTTCAGGGTCAGGGCATACTTGAACGGTCCTGCAGACTGTAGGGCAGTCTTAATCCATTGTGAAGATGGGCTTAAATTGTAAGACAACGCTAGATGAAACATGTTTTTAGCCCATGTTAGATAACAGCATTGGGGAAATCATATTTAATGAGAAAATGTCAATTGGGTTATCGTTTACAATTATTCATGTTTTTTTTTTTTTTTTTAGAAGTACTTCACCCGTGTTAGTCAACACACCACAAGAGGAGTTCTGGAGGTAAGTAATAGCCTGCAGACAACTTTACTTACTGACTGAATGTTTCCCCATTCGCCAATACTTTGCATTTACTCTACAACGATTGCAACACTGAATAATGAAAATGTTCAATCACTCTCACAAGATTCTGAATATAACTGCTCAACTGTCTTGACAAAATGTTCTATTCATTCAAAGAGGACAAGTCAGAACAGTAAAAAGCCTCAGGCATCAACAGTGTCGGCTTGCACTGATGTGGTTTGAATGATCTTTACATCCATATTTTTTTCTGCTTCAAGCAGAAAGCCATCAGTGTTGTCAAGAAAAATGAGCTGTCTCCCTCAGAAGTAGTTCTCTGACGTAATTTGTTAGTGATATTCTTGTCAGTTTTTTTTGGAACATTTAGGGAATTAGAAGGTAATGCATGGGTTGGTCTACCTCTTGGGAACATTTTCAGTTGTGGTGCAATATGGTTACAAACTTCTCAAAACTCACAGCAGGCAATTGTGATTCTGTGGAAATCTCTATATGAAGCTATGTCGCGGTTATCAAAGACGTTTCACTACTCAAACAAACATTGAAACTTCTATGTAGGACTGCATAGTTTAATTAGAGTTTCCACGCACATGTTTTGTCAAATCCTTGTAGGAACTTTCTTCCATTCATGTTGCATTCATTTCTAAGGCTAACCCACACCCTTGCTCTAAGCCTAACCATAACCAACACATACCTAACCCTAAATTTAACCTAACCTCAATTCACACCTTAGTCCAAAACAAAACTTCCACACCAACAACAGAGCTTTTCCTCATGGGGATGAGTCGTTGGTCGACATAAGTACCAGTAAGTCCTGAAAATGTTGCATATTCCTGGGAAATCCTCCCCACTGGGCAGTGGCGGCCTAGAGGTTTTTGCATTAAGCTTGGAATCCTGAGGTTGTGAGTTCAAAACCCACTGCCACAGACTACCACTCTGGGTCTCTGAGCAAGACCCTTTAAGCCATGATTGCTCCCTGGCCGCCCCACGATGGCAGCCCACTGCTCCCAAAGGGGATGGGTTAAATGCAGAGGTGAATTTCTCCAATGTAAGATCAATGAAGTTCAATTATTAATAAAAATGAAAGTGAGGACGTTGCATACGCTGACCATTGACTTCCATTCACTTTCCACCCATTCTACAGCCTAACCATGACAGTCCTGCACCTAACCAGTACTGTTACATACCTCGCCGCAACCTTAAACTAAACTTAAACCTAAACATAAATCAGAACTTGGGCCTAAAACTAAGCCAGCAAAGGGAGAACTAGTAGAAGGTCCCCACTTTACATAAAAGTCCCCACATTTCTAGTAAAATGCAGGAAAGAATTCCTTCACTTTACATTAAGTACAAGAACACACACTCACACAAACATATAAAAAAAACACCTAAATCTTTTCTCCTGTCTCCACTGTGACTACCAAATCACAGAATTGTAAATCTGCCTGCATGTGAACAGTCTTGATAGTATCAGCAAATCTGACTCTAAGTTTCTGAAGAAAAGTCTTGGTATCCTAGACAGTGCTACTATAAAACAACACTTCTTTAATCTATGTTACACTGCAGTATTTAGTAAATCCTATTCATTAGAAGGGCTGCACAGTGGCGCAGTTTATAGCACTATTGCCTTGCAGAAAGGTCTAGGTTCAGGTCCTCGCCCGCTGTCTTTTTGCATGAAGTTTGCATCTTCTCCTGCATGCTTGGGTACTCTCCAGGTACTAAAGCTTCCTCCCACAATCCAAAAAAAAAAACAAAAAAGAACATGAGCGTATATGCTTTTCACCCATAGACTGCTGGAGATAGGCAACAGCCTCACCGCAACGCTGATGGATGAAGCAGGAGAAGATAGATGGATGGAAGGATGGATATTCATGAGAAAATTTAATTTGGGTTACATTATTAATTATGTTTTTGCTTTTACAGCAATTCTACTCTCCTCATATTTAACTCACCAGAAGAAGAGTTCTGGACGTAAGTAGTGGCCAACAAACAGACACAACAAAAACAAACAGGCTTGGGCCTTTGTGTCTTCATGTTTACATGTCTGTGTGTGTGCATACTTTTGAGTTACCAGTGTAAGGTGTAATGTGCAGGTACATGTGGGAACCAATAAACTAGTCCCCAATAAGAAAAGTTCTCTTCTTTGGTTTGGGGCTAGGTTTACCACTAAGGTGTGAAATTAGTTAAGGTTAGGATCTGGTTTAGGCCATACAAATGAATGAAAGTCAAAAGTCGCCATAAGACATGGAAACACAAGATGTGTGTGTGTCTATCCTAAAAGTTAATATCTTTAACATAAAATAATGTAATAGATTGACATGCCAGAGCAGTTATGCTATAAGTGTTTTTTTTTTAGATACTGATCTTTTTTTCAAGTAGCAAGGCCCCTTTAGGTAAGATCAAAAGGTGACAAGAGTGGATTTACTATGAAATGCAGTAAAACCATTCAAGCAATAACTCTCTTATGTTTCTTGTTTACATCATAGTTACTTACACAGTTACTTACACTTACATAACTATTTAAAATAAATCTGTTATTCTTTGTAGAACCATCTTGCCTTGTGAACTACTGCCAGCTATTTCTAACATTTAACTGTGATAAAAACCATGCTGGCATCATTATCCATGTTTTGAAATATTTTTTGGATCAGGCATTCCTCAGCAACAGCTTTGAATGCTTCCCACAAATTAAGCGGTGAACTCAAGTCTCCCTTTGCAGTATTCCAGTGATAAGCCAAAAGGTGAAAGAAAGTCATCCAAAGAAAAAAGAAAACTACTTGCATTCCTCAGTAAATGCAAGAAAGAATCTTTAGCTCCAAACTTTGCATTAACTGTCGTTTGCTTTTCATTTATTTTTGTTTTTTAATCCTTGGACATGCAGATGCTGCTCTTCACATGATCAACATCTGATCTGCTGTAAGGACTTGTATTAGGAAATATTTTGGCTGCAATGGGAAAAACATGTTTTTTTTCCCAACCCCCTCTGGGTTTACTGCACAAACTGAAGTAATCCTTAATAAACTGGACATGATTTACACAGAAGTAACCACAATGATATGTTTGGAGGTATATTTTATAGTCGTGAAAACTTTATATGGATAAAATGGCTGTTCTGTGCTCATCTCATCCACACAGATACCGAGTGTTAAGAAAGTCAGATGAAATGTTCTTGGGTAAAGTGCACTGGGACCTGGCTTTGTGTCTCCTTTTCGCCTGGGTTATATGTTACTTCTGCATCTGGAAGGGAATCAAAACCACAGGAAAGGTAAAGAACTATCTTTGGATTTTATCAGGTTCTCCTAGTACACATCAGCTCGTTAAATCATTATTCTATAAAGCTGTTATTTTATATCAAGTATCTCCTTGATTAAACCTACAGTAATAACTCCCCATTGTTTATACTGAACATAATTCAAAAGATCCCTGTCAATCAAAGGTTTTATCAAACTTCTGATTTACAATAAAAAGGAAAACAGTTGGTTTTTCGACTGTACAAAGGAAATTGATCACTTCTCTCTCTCTAAAAAAAAAAAAATCATTATTTAAAGAAGCATTTCAAATAAAACAGATTCCAAATGATTTTGGTTATTATTAACAAGGAGTTACCAATCCCAGATCTTCCAACCTGATTTTCCTGATTTTCCTTGGGGACTAGGTGCTTTACAACCTTCAGTATTTACACAAAACCTATTTGGAGTGTTGGCTTCCAAAAGAACTCGTCTCATGTTTCCAAGAACACATGTTTCTAATTAAAGTCCCAGTGAAGTTTAGAAACATATAGCTCGGTGGGTGTAAGGCAAAAACGTTTAGTCCTATCCTTATGTTTGCCATATTGTAAGTTGTTCAAAACTTTTAAACTAGTCTAATAGGCACAGCTCCGTTATTTCTTCCTGAACTAATCAACCCATTTAATTTTAAACTCTGATATATGCCTTTTTGCTCATATGCCTGAAACACAGTTAACTTTCTTTTTTTTTTTTTTACAGGTTGTGTACTTCACTGCTACATTCCCTTACCTAATGCTGTTCATCCTCTTTATTCGTGGAGTGACACTTCCAGGAGCAGGAGAGGGTCTCAAGTATTACCTCCAACCCAACTTCAGTAAGCTCGCTGAACCAGATGTAAGAAATGACCCCCCCACTAAATAGCTGCTCCTATAACAATGTGTATTTGTCTCTGAGGCAGAACTCCAAACGGAACCTAAAAGATGCTTAGTGATCCACGCTGTCCTGTCCTGTTCTGAACACATGTCTCTTTGTTAGATTCCCCTCAGTTTAAAAGGATAACTCAAAATCTTCTTATCCTCTGTGACTGCTCCTTTTTTTTTGTTTCCAGTTTCAGCAAAGAAGGGAAAATAAACATCATCTTCACTTAGAAGTTTGAAGATTTATGCAGCACCATTAACTCTGGAGCAAAAACAGTTTTCCTTTTGAAAGTTTGAACATATGTTTTAAGGATTAGACCTACCCCCCGCCCTCTAACTCCAGCTTCTACCACTCTTTACAACCCAACTCTGACATGTCGGGTTATATATGTAGCTGAAAGAACAAAGGTTGAAAATAAATATCAGGCACATAATACATCAATGTATGACCGAAAACATATATATTTCAGTTAAAAATGGATTCTCATGTAGATTTATGAATGAATGATCATGATCACTGCTTACAGCTAATTAAATCCCCAGAAAGCAGTTTGTGAGAACATTAGAACTTGTGAAAATTTGTAAAGAGGAATGATTGTTTGAGCATTTACTGCAAAGGCAGACCCTTTTTATACTTTATTAACATGTAATGACTCTACTGATGTGTTAAAAAAAAAGTCCAGGTTGCTTTACTTGAAGCTCAGAAAAAACAAGTGGAAAAACATAAACCATAAAAAAAATACAACAAATGGGTGAACAAACAGGTCAACTGTCCACAAAAACAAAAATATTTCATCTTTGCTGCATCCTTTATGATAGTCTTAATATCCATCCTATATATGAATGCTTGTAATTTCAGAGATTTGTGATCACAATGCATGATAGGAGAGTCATGTTCTGTTTACAGACAGTTGAAACCTGGGGAACATTTAAAAGCAACCTTTGAGGGTGCAAATGGAGTAAAAATGATGTCCACTCAATTATGTAACAGCCTTGACAAGTTGACCAGTTGACCGTAGACAAGCATAATAGACTGCATTTAGTCTTTTATCAGATAAAAGTATATGACTATACAGTAGAGCATTATAATCAATGACATATAGTAAGCTCTTTAATGTCCCTAGAGGCAGAACTCTGTGAGTTGTACTCAATACTCAGGCAGGATTTTAGACTACATCAATGTGGTCTGTGGTATCTGGCCACAATAATGTTATATGCCTGGAGGCAGCAGTCTGGGAACAAGCAGCGTATTTAGCAGTAGCCTTTCTGGCTTACCCTTTGTATCCTGCCATTGACTGTCTACTGTGAAGTATGCAATCCTGTCTATGAATATGTAGAACATGACATATTTATTTATAATACGTTTTAATTTTTTAATCCACACATTAAAATAATAATCAATAATCACTTTATTCTAAATCTATATAACATTTACAAGTTTCACCTTTTAAGTTAAGTTATTGAAATAACATACATTTTTAATCAGATCGGGATTTATTGAGATGCTGCTGTAAATATAGGCAGAGAGGTAATATTCACATTTATGTATGTAGTTTTATCTCATGATGTTGTTCTCAGTCGAACAAATAATGTATAAACTCAAATTACAATTTATCACCGATTTATTGAGAAAGTTCATGAGCTACTTAGGAGTGAACTACTAAGGGTGTTAGAAGTGGATCTGTTGAAACTCAAGACAATATATGCAAATACAAGACTATATACAAGACTATATACAAACATCAGTCTTTTTTCTAATACATAGGAGCTTGAAAAGAATGTAAACAAGTTTGCACCATCAAATGTGACTGAGGAGTAAATTTTGTTTGGTCAACATAGATAATGTCACTTATATTGAGAAATATTCATGAAGACGGGAACATCCTGCTCATGAAAAAACAAAACATTTTGCATTTCAATTAATGTTGACAAGTCTGTCTTTAGAAATACAGTTAAATATTAATTAAATATTCATGTTCAGTTTTTTTAGGGTGTGTGTTTGCAGGGATGTTTATTGCTCCTCTTGTTTCATTTAGTTTTTGTTTGCTAAGATCTGACAAATGTACAGCTTGGACCTGTTTTCAAAATCTGGCAATTTTGGAAAAGTAAAGTGTAGGTGCATTAAAAAAGAAGGCAAAAGTTCTGTGTTACTGAGCACCCTTATGCAATGCCAGATGCTCACGGCCTTCTGAGCCTGACTTTATCACGCAAGCATCTGTTTTTGCTTGAATTGCCTCAGAATGGTGATTGAGTCTTGGTCTGCATCTGGCATGTGCTCAATGGGAGAATGTGTGTCTTGTCACAGTGCCTGTGTGAATCTGTAAAGAGAGGAAGCAGATAGAGTTGAAAACTGGGCTTTGATTTAAGACAAAACAGCCATTGCTTTATGCAGCAGAAAATGTCAGGAACCTTTAACACAGTTTTTAGAATCCCATTATGACCTGAAGCAAGAAAATAATCTAGCTCATCACGAAGGCCTCAGGAAGGGTCTGCATGTTGCTTTGGATACTTGCCAGTTCCATAGCTAAATATGCAAGAGCTTTTGGGGTTGTATATGTTAACCAGATGCTGTCAGGCTTGGACAGTGCAAACAGACAAGTATGTAAACAAATCTGGTCACCATCAGGAAAGAAATGCTCTTTTACTTCTACAGAGCCATTGCAAGACTTTAACACTTCTTCTAACTTTTTAAACATTTTTTTTTACATCATATTCATTAACTTCAATGTGTGTCTTACCTATTTATCTTCGTGAAATGGCTGAAAGTGAAATTGGGGGATGGTATCTTTACATGTTCTTTCAAACTTCTGTTTTAAATTTTTTAAATCTAAAACATGTTATTTTACACTCTCCCATTTTAGCTTTGGTTTTACAATTTTGGTAATTTTCCTGCTTGAAGGAGAAGGAGAACCTCTTATTGCATTACTTGCTCTAGCATCTGCTGGGATGTTTTTTTTTTTATTATTATTGTTATTTTTCAGTAGTACTTTTAAATTAGTTTCATCAATCCAGTTACATTAGCCCATTATAAAGAAAAGCCCAATGCATGATGCTGCTTGCAGAAGAAGATGGATGGATGGATGATGCTGCTACAGTTTTGCTTCACCATAGTGATGGTGTATTTGGTCCCCATCAGCTCAGGGATAGAGACTGCATAAAGATAACAAAACAAGAAAAATAACATAACAGTAAATGACAAATTTGTCCCGAACCAAGACATAACATAGATTTTTATTTCTAAAATAACTTGAAAAAAGTTTGTCATTTTTTTCTATTTCACTATGAACTCACTATTAATCTGAGTTAGTCCATAACATAAAATCCCAGTAATACATACCGGGTGTAACGTGACAAAAGGTGTAAATGGCTTCTAAAGATTTATTCATTTTACATTTCTCAAGAAAGGAAATGTCAGCAAGACCCTTGAAATGTTGAAACTCCTCTGCTATCATCCCTCCAGGTGTGGCGTGATGCAGGAACTCAGGTGTTCTTTTCCTACGCTGTGTGTCAAGGAGTCCTAACAGCCCTGGGAAGCTATAACAAGTACAACAACAACTGTTACAGGTTAGTATCATTAGATGTACTGGAAATAGAATTTAAAACTCATTTACTTTGTAATCATCTAATTTCTGGCTCTGTTTCAGGGATTGTTTGTTACTGTGCTGTCTAAATAGTGCAACCAGTATCTTTGCTGGCTTCGCCGTCTTTTCAGTCATTGGTTTCATGGCTCATGATCTGAACATTCCCATAAGCGAAGTTACTGCCAGTGGTGAGACTTCGTTTACCTAACCTTTACAAACCCTGTTTTGTTTGTTTTTAGTTTTAAAGTTTGAATTTACTAATGCTGACAGTAAGCATGAGCCCCACAAGATGGCATCCTTTGCTTACATGAAGTTCGAACATTATTTAAGGGATTAAATTTTCTGCCTTGTTCCCTTCAGGTCCTGGTCTGGCTTTCATCGTCTATCCCAAAGCTTTGTCGTTACTCCCTGGTTCATCCTTCTGGGCCGTGCTTTTCTTTCTGATGGTTCTATTTCTTGGTCTTGATAGCCAGGTATTGAATTCATTCGATTGGGTGATGCACACTACCATTATCACTATAAATATGGAAATATGACTCTGTCATCATAGTTTGTGTGCATTGAGAGCTTGGCTACAGCCATCACAGACCTGTTTCCAAGTCGTTTGAGGAGACCTGGTGCCAGGGAGCTCCTTGTCCTGGTCATCGCGGTTATTTGCTTCCTGTTGGGGCTGATGTTTGTCACAGAGGTGAGCTGAATTCATCAACACTATTTTTCCAATTGAGTGTTTTTTCATAGTTGAGTAAGAAGGAAATGCCTTTTCATTTTAACGTCTCCTTCTTTTTTAATGCTTTGATGCCATTTTCCAGGGAGGGATGCATCTCTTTCAGCTTGTTGACACCTTTGGTCCAAGTGGAACCAGCCTCCTCATCATTGCTTGTGCAGAGACTATTGTTGTTTCCTGGATTTATGGTAATTTTCTAACTTGCACATTGCATAATGCTTGATTTATTTGTGAATTAATGGAAAATAACTACAGCTGCTCTATACTGTATGTCTTTGCACAGTATGTTAGTTTCCACTCCACATATCATCTCATTTGAGATATTTCAATTTGAAACTTTACCTGTTTATGATTTAAATGTATTCTACTGATTAGTCATAGCAGAAAATTATTGTCATATCAAGTCAACAAGATTTGTGGTTTACTTAAGTTAATTTAGTTAAATAATGGCTTCAAAATTGTTTTTGTCTTTAACAATTAAAAATACCATTTCGCATCACAATAGCATACAAAATATGCTATATACGATATAAAATGCAAGCTGTAAGGAAGCAGAGTAAGTTAGTATTTTTGTGGTAACTATATTAAGAGGGTCATCAGGAAGTGATCCCAATTAACAAAAAATTAAGGAGCACACTGACTTAGCACTTTAAGTTTGCCTTCATCCATTATTTAGCACCCTTCTAATTATGTAAGGGCCCAGGCATTTATATTTCCAATTCAACCAACTGACTTGTCTTGATATTTAACCCTTGAAAAAAACAAAAACTACATTGTTTTAAGACTTAGATCCTAAATGTGAGCATACTTCCTAAAGAAAAAACTGCAGTTTATCATATAATCTGCAACTGAAGTGTGGTCTTTGATGCAATGTGGTTAGAATAGGATAAAAAAAAAGAAAAAAAAAAAGAAATAATAATAAAGAGAATGTCGGACAAAGTAGCTTAGTGTACATTTATCACACAGCTTTCATTAAAACTTTCTTGTAGACCTTTTTGAATGTAGATTTTTTGGGGGTCATATCAGTTTGTTCTAGGTTCCCTTGCAGTTATTGAAGAATAAGCTTATTTTTTGTAACACTGATTATTATAAAAATATAGTACCAAGTTTGTAAAGATGATCTTTTGATCAGCAGGATGACTGCTCCCCCTACTGGTCTCAACCCAGCAGCTGCAGCTTCTGTTTTCCATTAAGTCACTTTTAAATGTTTAGTCATGGCAGGAACGTACTAAATCAGAGCAACTGTGGTTGCTTAACATGTATCCATCCATCTCTTCAGCCCACTTTTACATGTATTTCAGCTTTTCTTATTTTATAAGAATAACATGTCAAAAAATGATAAACTATTACAAATGAGAAAAATATCACCTTTGTAGAATTGTATATTTTGCAGCACCTTACTATTTCTTATACCTTTCTTATCAGCAGCTCTTCTGGTTCAATGGAAGTTTGCTAATCTTAGAATTTCCACCTCTCATTTCTGAGATCATCTGTCTAAATGCCTTTCTGTGAGAGATCTGGAGCTATGCCGCAACTGATATATTCCTCTCCTAAAAACCTCATTCTGCAAACCAGGAAAGTGCCGTTTTATTTGAAAAATAACATCCTCTATGGAAACTGGAAACTGCAAACTGATGCAGAGTGAGAAATCGATCAGATTCTACGGCAGCTTTCTCCTCCCAGTTTGAATTATTAAGCCCTTTTCTTTTCTGTTTGTGCAGAGACATTCTCTCATCTAAATCTAAATGAGAAACCTCAGTTTCTTCCACTGTAGAGATGGGATGTTTCTGGGTTGATTTATCGAGAGCCAACTTTTTCTGCTGTTCGCAGCAAACAATATATGGATGGTGTTTCATTTAGAGGATTTTCTAATATCAGTTTTCATCCTGTTTTTAATGTATGCTTCACTCTATGGCAGCTTAAGGTGAACAACTCTTATTCCACCCTCGCATTTTCCCCATCCTCATTCCTTTATGATTTGTACATAGTTTCTATTTCTCCAGATGACATTTCTCCTCATTTTGATTTAAAAATTGCTCCATACTAGCAGTAAGTGGATGTGTAATTTTCCATATCTTTAGATGTAAGAACCATGATTACAATTTAGTATCCATTGTTTATTTACTGTATTCTGCACTTCATTTAAAATTGGTGGTATTGCATAATTCTGGAGTTACAAAGATGCTGATCCACCTTTCATCCTCCAAATATCACCTTGTAGGTGCAGATCGCTTCTATGATAACATTGAGGACATGATTGGTTATAGACCAACCCCTGTTTTAAAGTACTGCTGGATGTTTGTTACCCCCCTCATCTGTGTGGTGAGTTTTAATCTTTGCAACATCCTCACTCTTATTTGTTTATTCCTATTTTTAAACCATTTTGCATTTATTTTCTTTCATGATGTTATTTCTAAAGGAGTATTCATTTCCATTCTGTGCTTAGGTGCTAAAAAACATTTTAAAGTTAAATCTTTTTAAAGATTTTAGATTGTTTTTTATGTGTTTTTTACCAGTTTCTAAAAAGGATCTTTATACCATGCAAAAACAATAGTTTGATATATTAGTAGTAATTAAAGTAAAGCGAGTAATGCATTAAAATTTATTGTACAATTGCAATATAAAAGGATATAAGAAGAGCATTTAAAATTCATATCAGAAACAGCGGCAACAGAAAACTAACTAAAACTATCTAATAAAAAAAAAAAGTTTTTGGGAAGGGGGTGTGTTAAAATTAACTGGTGATTTTTTTCGGAAATGTTTTATACAGGATGACTCAATTATTGTGTCATCTTTTCATTGCCATCTCCTATTTTACAAGCAGTGCTCCTGAGTGCCTCATGGAGGAGCTTGTGTCATGATAGTTATTAACTGCATGCATACAGCAATGGTTGCATTAATTTTACGCACATTTCACTACATATCATACATGATATTTTGCCTTAATGTTTAATCATTAACAATGTATGACCAGAAGGAAAGAAATTAATAGCAACTCAGTAAATTTTAGGAGTTTTAAACATAATGTTTCTATAATGTCTCACTGCCCTCCACTGACAATCTCTGCTTTTTCTCCAGTCAAGACAAATCCTTATCTAACATTTGTAACTTCTCTTAAATCCTAGATTACAATGCTGTATAACCTGTCAAAAGAAAACCCAATCAGTTTGAATGGTGAATTACCAGGACCAGCTGTCTCTGCAATAGCTAGCCTACTTATTGCCATCCCACTGATGTGCATTCCAGCATTTATTTTCGTCTCTCTGTACAGGGTGAGTAAAGTCAAACCTTTCTTTTTTTAATGTACAATTTTTGAAAATATAGATAAACATATAGAATCTTGAAATACATTTTGGTAATTAAACATTTTATACAACAAATCAATGACATTTCTATTCTGACTATAAGGATCCAAACAACATGATCTCACCATCTAAAGACCTGCGGCAAGTTTCCCCTGGTAAGCCCATTCTGACGCTGTGCAACATGGCCATCTTTGAGGGACAGAGGCAACCAAGCACAAATAAGGATGAAAGGAACATGAAGATGATGATGGAGGAGCGGAGCCACGTTTGATGTTTGCTGACAATGAGTCTGGACTGCATAATATATATTGCAGTTGAAGTTTTATTAATATGTATACATTTCAGGGAGATTTGTCTGGGTTTGGACGACACGTTTACCTTATTGTTTGCTCTTTCAATAAGCTTTACTCCTATAATCGTACATAAGTTTATGAAACGTATACATCTTTTGGTGTTCTAATGCAATAGTTAGGATATATATAATCATTTCTACAATACGTTCCATTCATGTATTTTTCAAACTTATAGCTCTCACCAAATATATGAATTATTATGACAAAAAAATAAATAAGAAATTAAGAGAGTGGAAGAAAATAAAAGGGCAAGACAAGCCAGAAATAGAAATGGTTAAGATATGGAGATGTGATCATTTTTAGTTTGACTTAATTGTTGTGACCAATTTGATCTTTGCATAGTAAAACTGACACCCAAAGAGAAAAAAATGGTGCAGGTCTCAAGCTCCAGTCCCTAAGTGAAGATCCTCATTTTATGATGATTTATCAGTTGACTAGACCTGTGTTGAATTTGATTTAAGGTTAGTG